GAAATCTCATATCAGGCAACATTCTGTCGCAAAACTTGATATATATTTAGATGACTAATTTGTCAGTGACGTTATCACACACCCTGTGGCATCCACCAGGCGCCGTATCGCTTTAAATCACTGCCCACCCAATGCCTCTAGGCTGAGGACTAACAAAAGACACTAGCGTTGTTTTTTTATGGAACGGAAAAGGACGTTGTTGCGTTTTCCCTTTATTGACTAACACTTATAGGAATAGGAAATCTCATATATCAAGCAACATTCTTTCGCAAAACTTGATATTGAGAATTATTGTGAGTGTGCAAAACCCATTGTAAGCTCACTTTAATTAATGGTTAAACCACTAATAAGAGCAGGAAATCCAAACTTTGAAAACAACAGACGCAATAAATAGGAGTGTTTGATATGCATTAAAAGGAATTTATTTCCAAAAGATCATAACAAGTGGCTTTTTACTATACAAATTCAGTTACTGGAACGTTACAACAGCAAGATCAAACATCTTGTTTTCCACTCGACGATCGCGGCACTAACTATACACATATTTGTGGTCTGCCATGTGCTATTTTGCCGTAGAGTGAGTCGTTTATACAATTAGCGTTGTTGTAAAGGTATGTGTTTTTCAGTTTTCCTATCAAGAAAATCAAAGAATCAAAGTGACGTTCAGCATTTGTGTAAAAGAAACGTTCAGTATCTGTGTAAAAAAACGAAGTGTTTTTATCGTAGTAGAATCAGTTCCTGTAGCTAATTATATTAGCAAGGTACTTGTGGCTGCAAACATACCGCCGCCTACCGACTATTTGACAACTTATTGGCACTTGGTGTGTTTATCTTGTTTTTGGTTAAACATTCACACACAAGCTGTTGAATTAACTCATCACAAATAAAAGACCATAAAATNAAAACTTGATATATATTTAGATGACTAATTTGTCAGTGACTTTATCACACACCCTGTGGCATCCACCAGGCGCCGTATCGCTTTAAATCACTGCCCACCCAATCCCTGTAGGCTTGAGGACTAGCTAAAGACACTAGCGTTGTTTTTTATGGAACGGAAAACTGAGGACGTTGTTGCGTTTTCCCTTCATTGACTAACACTTATAGGAATAGGAAATCTCATATATCAAGCAACATTCTTTCGCAAAACTTGATATTGAGAATCATTGTGAGTGTGCAAAACCTATTGTAAGCTCACTTTAATTAATGGGTAAACCACTAATAAGAGCAGGAAATCCAAACTTTGAAAACAACACACGCAATAAATAGGAGTGTTTGATATGCATAAAAAGGAATTTACTTTGAAAAGATCATGTCAAGTGGCTTTTTACTATACAAATTCAGTTACTGCAACGTTACAACAGCAAGATCAAACATCCTGTTTTCTACTCAGCAATCGCGGCACTAACTATACACATATTTGTGGTCTGCTATTTGCTAGTATTTTGCCGTAAAGTGAGTCGTTTATATAATTAGCGTTGTTGTAAAGGTATGTGTTTTTCAGTTTTCCTATCAAGAAAATCAAACAATCAAAGTGATGTTCAGCATTTGTGTAAAAGAAACGTTCAGTATTTGTGTAAAAAAACGAAGTGTTTTTATCTTAGTAGAAGCAGTTCCTGTAGCTAGTTATATTAGCAATGTACTTGTGGCTGCAAACGTACCGCCGCCTACCGACTATTTGACAACTTACACTTGGTGTGTTTTACTTGTTTTTGGTTAAACAGTCACACACAAGCTGTTGAATTAACTCATCACAAATAAAAGACCATAAAATCCGACACCTAACTTAAAACTGTAAAGCGTTACTTGGATTACTCGGTCATTTAATTAGCAGACACAAGTTTCTTAAGGTCTTCGACCCAGCAGCTGATGGGACGAATGGACTTGCACTTTGAGTAAACTTGGGCTCCCATCTTCTTCAAGATTGGCAGATCAAACGTTAAAAGCTCGTCCGCATCCCCTGGGTTATTCATACAAACAATCACCCAAACCTGCAGGCAACGATCAATATTAAGTCACTTAACAAGTCTTGGCGAATTCTCTCAGGCTAAAAGGAAAGCTTATAATTCTCTCAAAACTAAAAGGAAAGCTTATAATAACTATTATTTGGCCTTCAATTTAAACGACGCTTTAAGACTGAGAAACATGCCTGTTACTTTACGCCGGTTGCAAGAGACTGCAACTTTCTTTTTACCTGTCTCTCAGCCACCACTTTCCACAAGTCCACGATTGATCCCAATTTTTTTGCCTCCAGAGAAGATTTAGCTTCTTCGGTCCAGGTCGAAAGAAGATCTAGCTGACTTATCCCTGGTTAAAGAAAAAAAAGGAGATTACTGAAATGAATCAATGATTGATTCTTTCTGTTCACTAAGTACTTTCAAATCGCGCGTGAGCTCCTTGTAGTAGGTTTTTGTTTAAAGACCAGAAAGAATGGAGAGGTCAGGGCCGTAGCTAGTAACGGGAAAAACGAGGCACTTGCCCCAGTTAATTTTTTTTCGTTTCTGTTGTCTATAGTCATCAAGCATGGACATTTACTCAGTCATAATTTTTTCTGGCTACGGCCCTGGAGGCGTGAGTATTTGCAAGAGATGAGAAAATATTGGGATGAGACCTACTTTTTTGGAACATTGCGTTCGTTAAAAGGAATATCTTTTTGACCCTGCTTTACCGTTGGATTGGACGTACACATTTTACACCAAATTTATGATAACAAGAAGGATACATGGAAAGAAAGGGTGAAAAGGTTTGTGTGCCGCAGCCGTTTTGCAGCGTCACGCAAAGTTTCTTTTCGAGAAGTATACCTAGACCAGTGAATATAATTGAATCTTGGATAATTGTTGGTTACCATGGTTACCTAAGTACTCCACGCGGGACCGAATAAAGTAGTACAATCCATCATTTCTCACACTCTCAATAGGAGTGGTGTCCAAGCTTTGTCGGCTTCTTTCAGCACAAGTACCAGCAAAATCTTCATAAGGCCTGAAGGGGGTGACCTCAGTAGTGACTTGAACATGCGCAGTTTGCTGTTTCAACAGGGTCGCAAAACAAATGTCCAGATCCCCTGGTGAATCCACGCTGAGCACTGGGAAAGAGAATAAACTCGGAAACATGTAATAAAGATTGCAAAATTTGGCTATCTTAGCTAAGCTTTTAAACTGATTTTTCTCTTAATATTCTGAGCGCTCTTCATAGAGGAAATTAATTGTTCTTTACTTTCCAGTTCCTTGTTTTGTATCGACAGGCCCTGGGCTACCAATGAACCGTGCTGTAAGTTGCCTTACTTTAGCTAATGTGTTGTAATCTCTCTGTTATATGAAATGTATAGTGTTCTTACCTCCTATCAACTTGTTCTCCCCGCATATCTGCAAAGACGAGATTAACAAAAAAACTTTCAGAACTCAGTTAATTTTGTAGGCTGGCTCCAAAATTACTTTCAGACACCAAATACATTCGAAAAGAGAAATGTCATACGCTATAATCTAATGCTGTGTTTAGACTTCAACAGTTTACAGAGGTATCAGAGTTTACTTACCTAGGTAAACATTTTCCGTGTCTAAACGCCTACTGATACTTTGGTAAATGCCACAAAACACACAAGAAATTTAACCGAGGTAAAAGTTCTAATTACCCTGTGATCAGACATGGTTACAGTTGGTAACCAAGGTCAAGATGGCAGATATATCCGCTTGTGGCGGCGTAATATTTCACTTCCCGCGGTGAGCAGATTGTGCGTTTGTCAACAAAGCAAAGCGTTTCTTTTCCAGTTTTGATGGCAGATAACGTGGAAAGATTGGATCGATCTTCTTGCGGCGAACAATCCGTCACGTAAAAGAAAGCATTGTATTTTTCATTCTCAGTATTATTTACAACTTTCTCTAGACAAACTTCGATCCTTTGTTGTGTAATTATTGTCGATATATTTTGCCACCAGGGAGGATTCTGCATATACAACGTATCCACGTTTCTACGCGTATAACCATGCATACTCTGGGTATGATCAAGCAGCTGAATTTTCGCCGAAATATTATGGAATGAGGTCCTCGCCCATGAAAATGATGGCATCTCAATTTGCTCCTGTTCCGCTGCGGTGGGATCCTCGTCCAAGTTCGACTTAATAATGCAGCGCGCGCGAATGTTGAAAGATCAACTTGAGTCATTTGAGCCGGTATAAACACTGGACGAATGTACCAAGGTTAAGTAAGTTCCAAACGCTGCTCCATTCATGTGCCGAACCTAACTGATGAGTTAAGTACGGCAGAAGAGCGGCGTTTGAATCAGTTTGGTTCAGCAGGTTAAGTTTGGTGCGGCAAACAACATTAAATTCGGCAGGGTCTGTCGCACCATGCGACGTTGGAGCGGCAGCTGATTCATACGGCGTTCTCCTCANATGCGGTCCTCGCCTATGAAAATGATGGCAACTCAATTTGCTCCTGTTCCACTGCGGTGGGATCCTCGTGCAAGTTCGATTTCATGACGTTGTTAATGCAGCGCGCGCGAATGTTGAAGATTAACTTGAGTTATTTGAGCCGGTATAAACACTGGTTAAGTAACTTCACCTTAGTAACTGTTTACCTTGGTAAAAGCTCAAATGTAAACACAGCATAAGGCGCGTCAAGTCAAAGGCCAACTTGTATTATTTTCTTGTTTACGATGTATGATTTCACGGTCACGTTTGCCTTTCGGAAGACTACTTTGCAGTAAATGCCATCGATATTTTGAGCAAAGAACGCGAAAAAAAATTTAAAATATCTGTTCACCCAAAGAGGCCCTTATTTCAGGGGTTAAACTCAAGGCTGATAATCCGACCACCCGTACAAGGTCCTTTGTGTCTTGAGAATAATAGCAGTTTCTATTTATAAACAAATGAGATTAAACCGTCTACTGAGGTATTGTAATTAGATCGGATGATTTAAAGGCAACGCAGACAAAGCGCAAAATCTTATGAAGCGAGCAGACGTCAGGGAACATCATTCCAATAGGAACAACACAAGAATTCAAGCCTGAGGATTGTTTATTATACAGCTGAAAGGTAAGATAAGAGCCTCTAGATTCACTGGCTCTCTTTCAATAGCTTCTGCGAGACCACTTCCTCCAAAATGTTTTTCGCTTGAAAACGTGCAGGGTCAGTGGTCGCGACTAAAAGGAATTTTGGGCACTGAACGTGCATACAGCTATATATGTGCTTTGTTGACGTTCTCCCAGAATTAACTCTGCTTTTGGTGCTCTTAAATTCTAGTTGTTCTTTTCAAAGTGTTTATCTGGTGACTTTAGGTAAAGCTCTATAAAGCTCCGCCATTTGAGTAGAGTAGACTGCGAAACCACTTCGAAAAGAGAAGCACAAACAAGGCCTCCCTTCCTCTCCCTCCACGACTTTTCATTCATTGCAGATACTTACCATCTCGAGTTCCCACCCCGTGTACCCAGTTGTACAAAGCATTTGATTATTGTTACTATCTACTGCGCCCTTTATATCATGGAGACTGCAGAGTTTACAAGATGGTCGATGAGAGCTTTTTGATGCAAATCGTTCAAAAAATGCAAAGCTGACGTGTCACAAGGAGGTTGATCAAAAGTTGTCTTTGCAAATCGCTAAAAAAAAAATGCAAATACATGACGTGTTGTGTCTGAAAAGAATAGACACTCTTAGACCACAGACCAAGTGATATTCTTTAGAGAATTGTCCTTTTATCCATCTAAAAATTATTTATTCACTGATATACCCGCCGGTATTTAAAAATTTGAAAGCTAGAATTCTCAAGAGTATCACCGCATGGCCTGAAATGGGGCAAAGCGTCCAAGCTTGAAAGGTCTATTTATTTATTTATTTATTTATTTATTTATTTATTTATTTATTTATTTATTTATTAATCGAATATATACAAAATGCAGCTTTAATAAAATGGTCAATATAATATTTGATCCCAATAGGGTGTGTATATTGTCACGCAATAAAAAATGAAATTCAAAAACCATTCAGTGGATAAAGTCAAGTAATTGTGATATTATAGACGATAAATAAAGACTGAAGACAGCTCTCCAAGTTTAAGGTGTGTGCGTTGTCCCAAAGTTAAGATATTCGTCGAAACGTTCCGTGCACAATTATAGAGCATAATACTGAGCCGCCATGTTGGAGACCCACCTTAGCCCTCATAACATGGCGGCCGAAAAATGGTGTAAAATCTGGAACTTTGGCTATCTAGACAACTGATTATCTGAGCCAACCCAAACATATTTACGCAAGCGCTTTTCCTAATACTTTAACTCCTAAAATGGCAAGATAAGTGTATATTTTTCGACAAACGCGATCTTAGCTTCATGTCACGCACTGCAATATAAAATAACTCCGAAATTCAAAATGCGCTGGTTTCCAAACGAAGGACGCTATCAAGCTAGAAAGTTGTAAACAGATATAAATTTAGTACCTCTAGATATAAATTTAGTACCCCTAGATATAAATTTAGTAGCTCTAAAAATTGCTTTGACGTTGAAATAAGACTTAGTCACCAGTATGCCTATAAAAAAGTTTAGTGACATGATATTGTAATGTTCTATAACCTAAACTGCGCGCAACCCAAAATATTAAATTGAATGTTAACGAAGGATCATCGTCAGTTTTTGCACTGGCAATTCCTTTATTTCAAAAAACGTATTATCCCCTTGCAACCAGCAATGATATTGCAACAAGTGGGAGTATCGAAAGAAAATTTGTGTTGCAATATTTCTAGCATTGTGTATCAATTATATTTTGCCATTCTCTGCCCGTTGAATTAAAGACTCTTAACATAACACACCCAGTATCACACTTCATTGGACTGTGTCGGAGCCTGCGTGTGCATAACGACAATTGCTACTAAACCACCGTTTTCTCTGGCAACAGGCAAACAGATATGGTACTTTTCCTGTTCTATTGATTAACACAATAATTTAGATCAAAGATGTTTTTGTTGATCAACGTATCAGACGGGCTTAATGTCTTTTTTTATGTAAATCATGCCGACTCGTTTATTTATTTATTTATTTATTTATTTATTTATTTATTTATTTTTGAAAAAAAAACCTATGTATACCTCGTTTTAACGAGCATAACACATAGCATGGCTAGGGTGAAGGCGCTCTTTTGGAACTGATCTCTCAAACGGCTGATTCAGTTTCATCGTTCAAAGTTGGCAAACCGTCCTAAACAAAAAAAAGGAGGACGGCATTACCTCCAAAATCTGCGTGGGGATACTGGAATCTTAGTCATCTGTTATATTTAAGCAATAAAACGGCCACCGGCTAAAAGTTCAGCCCGTTTCTCACAAGCAGCAACTTTTACAAACCTCAGGGATCAAGAAATCAGCGACATTTCTTTGTTCGCTTCACCTTTCAGCTTTCATGCATTTACACCCCATCCAGTCCAACTCCAAAAAGAGACGTGAACCGTCATCTTGTTCTTCATGTACCGTTGGTATTTTACTTCCTTATTAATGAAATCTATTCAATCTAACGAAACAGCTAAAAAAAGTTTAAGTTAAACTGAGCATTACTTTGTTTTCCAGTTGCAAATATGCTTCAGAGCCGTAAAAGAACTGCCCAACAGGCAGCCGGAGTAGGAGGGAAGAGGCAGCGCATTGCTAAACCAGCACCAATGTACAGCCACCGGCGAAACATGTTCTCAAAGGGTGATCATGACCGTCATAAGCCGTGGGCTGCACTTGGTGCGTGGTTCATGGGACCCAAGGCAGAGAATGGAGATGTGTTCCACGAACTTGTGACTCAAACTATCGATTCACAGATAAAATTCCGTCGACACGTGTGAGTATTTTTTTTCTAATTTTTAGCAATGAAAGCGTTTCAATGCTTAAAATTTTCTCTTCTTGAAAAAGAAGTAAAGTAAAGAGCTCGTAAGAGTATGATTGGCATATAACTGAGTACGCTTTCTCACTGGGTCATTGGCCAGAGGGAAACCAAAAAATAACAGGACACATGCATCAATGAGTCATTTTCCAAATATCGAATGTTTTCCATGGTTTTGCGGTGAAACCGCAACCGCCCAATAACCCACTTACGCGCTTATCGATTAGTTCAGTCCACCCTGGGAGGAAGCTCGAGACTTCAACACACACCCACTTCATCGTCAAAATTTTAATAAGCATGCAGCACTGTCACGGAAGATTAACGGTACTAAAATCCTTAAGATGTAGGGAGTATTGTGAGATAGGTGCCTATTAGAACGATTAAACAATTATTAAAATGTTTGCACTGCACAGCCGAACAAAACTTCAAACAGCAGTCACAAGCACTGCACGTCTGGTAATTCCACCAAAAATGATATCGCCAACTGGAAGCGTTTGCCTCGCATTCAAACCAAAATCTAAAAGCATTAGATGGAAAAATATACCTTTTTTTAATAAATGTTCATCTGTTTTGCCTTCTAACTCTTTGGCCAATATTTTGCCGTTTATAAAGTTGGTGACAATTACTTTACGACTCTACTTCGTTGTCTATCTACCGTGTTATTTAACAATTATTCCACGGGTGCTTGTTGGATATGAGACGGTATAGATAGCCAACGAGGCGAGTAGCTCCAAGTTGGCTATAATCGATTGTTCAACTAAAATAAAATAAAAATAAAAACGCTCGCGAAAATTGCGCCAACCATACATGTATTAATTTTCCGGGATATGCTTTATCGAACGTCCACCGACTGGAATGAAGAGATTTTTTTTGGCGCGCGATTTCTGCAGTCACATAACATATTAAAAACACACGTAATTAAGGTATTATACTTACCAAATAAGAGCAAATGTTCTCCTTTCCAGTTATTTTCCATGTGATCCTCCTTACGTGACAGACGAGCTTCGTAAGGCAGAAGCCTTTCAAGATGCCATGGATAAGTTGAAAACAGAGATGGAAGCACTTCAAAATAAGATGATGAATTCTGTGCCATTCTACAGCTCACGATACAAGGTAACTAAACACTTTGATCACCAGCTCAATGAAGGCTTCAAACTTCGATTCCGTGATGAAAAGAAACAAAACAAAACAAAACAAAAAACAAATGAAGACCGGGACGCTATCATGAGTTAATGCGAATTCCTTGAGGTTGACGTTGAAAAATGAAATTCTCTGATGCTCCTAGAATGCTATTGTGGACACTATTGACACCTGTAAATATTAGACCATCACATCTCAATGAACACTGTACGTACTCTACATGAAATATAGCTGCGCTTCTTGTGTTTTCACGTAGGGCCATGTCAACTGGGATGTAGCGATGCCAGCCCACCTTGGTTATATTTGTGCCCTGCTGTATAATCAGAACAACTGCGCAGCGGAGGCCTCCACCGTTACCACTACGTTTGAGCTGGAAGTCGGGACCGACTTGTGTGTCATGATGGGGTACGACAGAGATAAGAGTATGGGACATTTGGTCACCGGGGGATCCGTTGCCAACATTGAAGCTATTTGGGCAGCAAGAAACGTCAAGTTTTTTCCTTTGGCACTACAGAGGGCTCTAACGAAAGAAAAGAAATTGGCTGCCGCAAAACATTACAAGGTAAGAGAGTTTCTATTTTATGATTTTTCATTTTTCTACAGTCAATCCTTCCAAAGTACTTTTTGCTAAAGTAATTTCTGTTGTAAACTAATGTGACATCATACTAACAGTGTCCCAGAGACTTTTTTCGTGGTAAGCGCTTCTTCCCCAACTATGGAATCAGTATGCGTTGCAATTTTGGATTTATGTGCTCAGCAGTTTCAATTTCGTGATTTCTAGGACATCATATATTTTGCACCCTCAGGAGCATGGTTGTTCAATAAATACTATCAGTATGGATACATACAAGAGTTTTTCTTCACTGTGGTTCAATTATAACGTGCGATATCCCGCAAAAGTTTCATGTGATCTGACTACGGCGACATCTATACCTGATTAGTCCTGAGTGTTTTAGTTTTATAGACTGGAATTCAACAAATATGTTTAAGTTATAACTTAATTTTCCTCACATACTCTTTCGTTTGCTCTTTTCCTTTTCTCCTAGGTTTTCTTTCCCCAAAGAGGGAAGAAAGGTGAACGAGGTGAACTTACAAGTGGTTCTGAATGGGAACTCCTGAATCTCGAAACCGCCTCCATCCTTGCCATGCCTACCGATGTAGAGAAACTGACGGAATTAGAACACGGTGAATTTATGGACATCATGTCTGATTACCTCTACGAATCCATTGGAGCTGCCGAATTTGGTCGCCGGCATCCTCTGATAGAGAAGTCTTGTGTCGTGGTACCAAGCACTGCTCACATTTCCCTTACAAAAGCAGTAACTATTTTGGGATTAGGAAAGAATAGCCTTGTACCAGTGGCAGTCGATGAAGAATCCCGAATGGACGCGAAAGGTAAGTTAACAGAACGAAAGGCAAGCCGATGGTTAATCTTCAAACCAACTGAGTTTGACTGAGGATAGGTTCTCTCTGCCAAAAGTGTACACCAAACAAAACCCTAATCCTTACCAAATTGCAACCTAGATACGTTCATTCTTGCGTAGACGACAAGCACAACGTTGTCAAATTTATCTCCTACAAAACCCACAGTTATGTATTTTGACATTTTATCTCGTGTTCGTCAACAAAACGAAAAGCACATATCCAAAATTACTTGAGCATTTCACTGTTCCTTAAACGGGTCCATTATAAGATTTTATTTGACAGAGATGTCAAAACTTGGACCGAGACATAGCTCCTAGACACAAATTGCTGAATGAAATACGTTAAAATACGTATAGTTTTGTGGTATTCTATTAAAGTTAAATCGCGTTCTTCACGTTAGAAAAACGTCAGTTGTACTCACACAAATACCATTTAATTTCATAGTACTGAACAACATTCTAGAGAAGCACCTTGAGAAAGAAATTCCTGTGATTGCGGTCGTGGCCGTAATGGGAACCACCGAGGAGAGTGCTATTGATCCACTCACTGAGATCCTGAAAATAAGAAAAGACTTTAGCAAAAAGGTAAGGGATAGACCAGCATGCAGTTAATCAGTTCCCTTAACGAGCGTTGCAATGATGTATCTTTTATGATGACTCTTGAAACTCGAGACGTGATAATGGTAGATTTTCCGCATAACGTATTTCAATTCCATTTGATTCTAAAAAAATACAAATTCCTTTGACATGCAAGACAGATCAGGCACTTAATTTTAAAACATATCTCCATGAAATTGATATTACCCAGACTGTTGAGACACTTGGTGTGTTGCAGGGTCTCGACTTTAGCATCCACGCTGACGGAGCCTGGGGAGGATATTTCTGCAGCATGCTGCGTGAACAGCCTACGACTCATTACTTACGGGCGCCAGAAGATTCAGGCTTTGTCCCACAGATGTACCTGAGTTCCTATGTTCACGACCAGTTGTCAGCTCTAGACCAATGTGATACAATCACCATCGATCCCCACAAATCTGGCTTCTGTCCATACCCGGCAGGAGCGCTGTGTTATAAAGACAAGCAGATGAATACCTTCCTACAGATTACCACAAGTGTGGTCTATTACCATGGTGATATGACACTTGGAGATATCGGAATTGAAGGTTCTAAGCCGGGTGCAGCAGCCGCATCAGTAATGCTGGCAAACCGAGTAAGAGCCATTTGTAGTGCCCTTTCTTTTTTGTTAAGGCTAAGACAATCTATTTTCCTGTCAGTGTCCGGTTGTGGTCGTGATCGACGTATTCAGTTAAGTGGTCATGCAAGAGTGAAAGGAAGGACTCGACCACAGTTTAAGTGCCTCTTTGTGTAAATAGTAAATTGATTGAGATTGTTCGGTGACAGTGAAAGCGAAGGAAGACAAAGGAGACCCAAGTATAAATTACACGATCAGTATAAATAAAGCAGATAAGTGAGAGGTTTACTGTTCCCACGATTACTTGAGTTCGTATTATCGTTAGTTATTTTGTAGTTAGCTTTACTTTCCAAATTCAACTCAGGTCAAATAGCAGAGAGTGAGTGATTGAATCTTGCTAACTAATTTTAACCTCTATTTACTCTGAAAAGGTTATTGGTCTCCACAAGAACGGCTATGGTCGAATTCTGTCTGAATGCACCTACACCGCTAAAATGCTGTACTGTCTTTGGCTGACGCTCCCTGAGGACGATGATCAGTTCATAATAGAAACTACCAAGCCTCTGCCACCTAAATGGAAAAATATGTCAGAGAAGGAACAAATCAAGTTTATGAGAGAGAGAATCATTGGAAAAACTAACGAAGAACTTGCAAAGGTATGTTTAAAAATGTAAAAACAGAAGGGCTAACAGCATCTTAAACCAGAGGTTTCACTGCCTCGTCTTTATGATCAAAGTGGAAGCCAGGAGGTAGTTAACAATACTTACAATACAAGTTTGTTTGAGGCTCTGCACCACTTCTATTGGGTTAAGTTGTACACAACGACACAATTATGAGTAAATAAATTTTCAAAATAGCGGACAAAAACATAGCTATGAAGATTGATCATATATGATCTTTCATAAACATTGCTAAATAATTATGTATACAATGGATAGGACCATGAAGCCATGGAGTACTTGACAGAGATTGGTCCAGACACATTAGTTCCATGCTTTAGCGTCAATTTGAAAGGCAATAAAAGTGTTGATGTCTGCAACCAGATCAATATGGCGATTTTTCAAGATCTAAGCCATTCCACCGGAGAGATGACTGCACATAGAATCCCGATGATCGTGACGGCATCAAGCATGCTCCATCATAAACACAGCACCGCCCTGAAGAGCTATAAGAAGAGACTTGGGGTGAGCAAGCCTAAAATAGGTGCTCCCCAGATAAATTAGTTTTTCACAGTATAGCTCTTTTACTAGAGTGTCCATTTGCGACAGCAGTATTTTGAGCCATCGCGTCATTTGAACTCTAAATGCACCTTTACCTTTATTAGTTTTCTATTTGTTTAGAGATTTTACAAAACGAATCACTTTGAATGAGTAGAATAGCATCAAACATACACCATTTAACAAATAGATTCCATTTTGCCTTGTGTCTGTTCAGTACTAGATCGCAGATGACGTCAAAATGTGGTAGCAGCGAGAAAAGTGACACGCGAAGCGATAGCCGAGTGTATCACTGACGTTCTTACGACATTTTGACATCATCTATGATTTATTACTGAACAGATGCAGGGCAACAAGGAATCCACTTTTTTTATAAAGAAAAAGAAACATCTTTTCGTGGATTTGTCCTCCAATAGATCATAAGTAGGAGTCAATCAAAATGGGATAATAATTCGACTATTGTATAAAACTTCACGGCACAATTACACCTAATATTGAAAGCTTAGTTTCTATTGTAGTTGGAGCACAAGGATGAATCAGCTGTCAAGTTTGTTATTACTACTTGCATGGATCCATGGGCAACATCCGTCGACTTCTTGAATGACTTGGCCGCCATTATGAGGAATAGCATTCTGTGTGCCATTGGAACGGTAATGCCAACCTTTTTAAAATGTAGTTTAGCATAAGTTGTAGCGTATAACAAAACTGATGTTTGCTATAACTAAAGCTGGCGATTTCCAAGAAATCGCAAAAGATAGTGATGTTAAACAGCACTTACTATTCACCTCTGAGCTAGTCAATCAGAATGCGCGGAAAGCACTATTCACTTGTGTGGTATATGCTTTTGATGGTCTAATCGGATCAATAGCCAAAACAACATGCTCGGAGAGATATGTACACGTGATTATTAAAAACTGGATCATTGGATAATGCAATTCGAGGGTTTTCATTGGATTAGCCATCGCGCATGGTATATGACCCATGCATTATACCATGCTCTATAAATACGGTAAGCGTATGTGTAATCATTTGGGGCGTTTTTATTTTTATTTTATTTTAGTTTTCTATAATTTGAGGGCGTTTTTATAAAACAATTATTTTACTCGCACTTGTTAGATATGAGATTTTTATAGCCAACAGGAATAAAAAAATACAGGCATTTTATCCACTTTGTCGAGACAGAAAGAAGGACTCACATCGTCAGAAAACTCGGAAAATCTCTGGTTTGGAATTCATTGACAGTTCGCTTAGTTATATATACTGATGTGTGAATAAACATTCTGTTTTTTCTAACTCTAATGCCAGGTAACAGATTCCAAATCCCACCACGACTTCGTCAGCACCGGGGTCGTCAATAGCGAGCGTGAACTAATCGTCTATTACGCCGGCAACTTCAAGGACGTCTCCAAGCAGTATGCCACAGTTGCCACGCTCAAATTCAATTCTAAGAGCCAAGCCGACGAGTACACCACGAAACAAGATGCTCTGATGAGAACCAGCACCGAGCCGCAACCAATTGTCTTCAGGAGCAAGGCTAACGCCACACTCCATGATGTGTTTTTTGGAGAATCGGAGTACGGAGATCAGGAGGAATTATTTGAATGTTTCGTTGGAATGCCTTCCCACGGGAACAAACCTTTCATGACAGCTAACATGAAGGTGTTAGACGTTCCTCAGTACGAGCACTTTGATGACGAAGAATATCCAGAGTCCAGTTCCTACTTCATGTACGGTGACAAGAAAGATGCATTCTTGTTCCACATTCCAACAAAGAATCCTGACTTCCTACAGGTAATCATTTTCATGAATGGATTAAAAGACACGCTATTTTCTGGCTACCTTTTGATACTTCGGTGAGTGTGTGTTTATTTGTACTGGGAAGAATTTTTGGCGAGAATGCTTTGCAGTTCTAACCTAAAACAAACGCAGGACTGTATATCCTACTGGTAGAGATTTCTCCTTACCAGAGCCTCCAGAAACGATATTCTATCTTCATAATCACCCCATCCCTGTTCCAACACAGGGTGTAAAGCGGCATAGATACGTTACTCCGTTTACACGTGATCAAAACTCATTTAATATAAAATTATTCGCGTATTCCATGTTTTTATTTCAATAGTTTTAAGGTCTATATTTTTAGTGTATTTTACAATGTATTTGGCAGATCGTTCAACTGGATGACATTCCAAATGGAGTCGGTACAGAGGGTAATAAGGATTTGTTGCTGAAGAAAGGTGTTGAAGTCAGCATACCTGATATTGATGGAACTCCGACGACCGCAGCCGGAGAAGTCCAGGACCCGCTGAAGAAAAAGCACTACGACATTACGTTCGTGGGAATAGATGGAGAAGAAGTGAAGACCAGGGTAAAGCTTGGCAGGAAGATTTGGTTCGATGGAACGAGAATCAACAAGTGAAGCTTACTGATCCAGTTCATTGATTAAGATCATTAAAAGGCATCGAGGGTTTCTTAGAAAGAGACAGAACTTGTAAGAAGTACTGTGAAAAAGTTGCTCAGTTATGATTTGTAACCTTCTGTTTGGTGTATAATGTCAATCCGTTAGTTAGTTTTTTACACTACTTCGATTAAGCCCAGTAGCGTTATTTCAAAGTGACAGTCATTGTTAACAGTAGACCATATTCGTATTCCCGGTATTGGACTGGAACTAGCTTGCAAGTGAGGCTAATGCGGGGAGTCTTTTCAAATGCAAATGAAATTAATCTCTTTTTCATGATATTCCCCAGCATGAGCCTCTGTTGCAAGCTAGTTCCAGTCCAATACCGAGAATAGGAATATGACCTATTCCAGGAACATTTGTTGCTCATTAATTCTAACTATAGAATAATCCATTTGCCAGTTAGAGAAAAGGAAATGATGATAATGACAAATTTTAACTGTCAAGCTATTATAATGCCGATCAATAAACTCATGATCATTTTGAGCATTGTTTTTTCCATTGGCTAACATGTGCTGGGACATTAATCTAATGAAGTTTATATTAATAAACAAGTAGGTAACCTCAGATGGGTTTAAGTTATGTTTACACAACCCTGCTATGAACCATTTTCTGATTCTTCTTATTTATTCGAGCACTACGGTGTTTCAGCAAGAGACCATAGTCTAGCATGGTTTCAGTCATTAGATTTCGCTTTAAATATGAACACAGAATATGAGCTCAAACTCCTGGTACTATAAGAGCTTTCAAGTGATTCAAGGAAGATGAAACCACAAGTTATTACGGACACCTCCATAATACGGACCACTCTATATTAATAACTACTTATAAACCGGGAGTGAGGTCTTTACGGGAAGATCTCAAACCGAGAACTTGACGTATTGACCGCCCAATAGCGCACAATACGCGCAATTGAGCGCGCAATACCTCCATAATAAGGACACCCAAGTCTGTATTTAAGGGCCCATTAACCGATTCATGCGCGCGCTCGCGCGCGTTGCTAAGGAGGTGAAATTTCACTTCNCCGTTAGTTAGTTTTTTACACTACTTCGATTAAGCCCAGTAGCGTTATTTCAAAGTGACAGTCATTGTTAACAGTAGACCATATTCGTATTCCCGGTATTGGACTGGAACTAGCTTGCAATGGAGGCTCATGCGGGGAAATATCATTAAAAAGAGATTATTGTCATTTGCATTTGAAAAGACTCCCTGCATTAGCCTCAGTTACAAGCTAGTTCCAGCCCAATACCGCGGAATATAGCCTATTCCAGGAACATTTATTGCTCATTAATTCTGATAATCCGTTTCCCAGTTAGAGAAAAGGAAATGATGATAATGACAAATTTTAACTGTCAAGCTATTATAATGTCGATCAATAAACTCATTTTGGGCATTGTTTTTTTCCATTGGCTAACATGTGCTAGGACATTAATCTATTGAAGTTTATATTAATAAACAAGTGGGTAACCTCAGATGGGTTTAAGTTATATTTACACAACCCTGCTATAAAGCATTTTCTGATTCGTCTTATTTATTCGAGCACTACGGTGTTTCAGCAAGAGACCATAGTCTAACATGGTTTCAGTCATTAGATTTCGCTTTAAATATGAACACAGAATATGAGCTCAAACTTCTGGTACTATAAGAGCTTTCAAGTGATTCAAGGAAGATGAAACCACAAGTTATTACGGACACCTCCATAATACGGACCACTCTATATTAATAACTACTTATAAACCGGGAGTGAGGTCTTTACGGGAAGATCTCAAACCGAGAACTTGACGTATTGACCGCCCAATAGCGCACAATACGCGCAATTGAGCGCGCAATACCTCCATAATAAGGACACCCAAGTCTGTATTTAAGGGCCCATTAACCGATTCATGCGCGCGCTCGCGCGCGTTGCTAAGGAGGTGAAATTTCACTTC